AAAGGATTTTATTGATTGCATTTTACATTTTGATTGCCAAGTGTGACTTCAACAGAGTTCATTCGAATCTGAGTAAAATAAAACTATTTGTAATTTTGAAATTGGAATCACGCACTTCGTAGTAATTCCGAGAAAAACAAAAAACTTCTTACAAAGTTATATCGTTACAGTTTGTCACGTTTTAATTGGGTTGATAGAACTGAAAAAAAATGCTAAAATTAATGTCAAAGGATAAAACCAACTTGGATAGTAAATATGATATTATAATCTCTAGTTTCGTTTAGGTTATCGGCACATAATGGTTGATAACTGTTGGGAAAATGTGCATTAAATTGTTGTGTCTTATAACAAAATACAGATTATCCTCCCGCCACCAGTATTTATGTATTTATTACCCTAGTAACGGTTTTTATAATCTACTTAAAACAGGGAATTACGCCAGTTATCGATTAATTTCTTGCTTGGCGGATTGCGGATTAGAGAAAAATTGTCGAGATTTATAAGTTTATGACATTATAAATAACAAATGATGGTAAATAAAGTTTTGTGTAACTAAAACCCTTAAAAATCTCTAAAATATTGTTTTCAACTTGCGCATATTTTTTTAAATAGAAAGACATTTAAGTACTTTCTTTCCTTTATCTACTCCAATATTTTTCCTTCTAGTTTGGTAGATATATAACATTTTATCATTGAAAAACATATCAAATCCTTTCATATACCTATTGTATAAAGTTGAATAATTTAATATCTACCCACCAAACAATATGGAACGGTGAAACATTTTTAGCTTGAATATTTCTTCGTTTAAAGTAAAAATAAATCCTAGTTGCAAACGTAGGTTAATTTCTATAAATCTACAGACTTGAAGAACCAATAAATAAAACCAATAACGGCAATAACACATTAATCATTGATATAACTTGTTTCTAAAAAATTAGTATGTAATTTGTTATTATGTTTTGCGTATCCTTCAAAAAAAAACCGCTATGTCATAAACATTGAGAAATTAATTAGATTAACAATTAAGGCCTTGAGAATTAGAGTGACCTAACCCACAATATGCGAAATCCTAATAAAAGTTAAAATTTTCACTTTAAAATTTTATTGTGTTTTAAATACAATGACTTTACAGTTAATATTTTTTGTTTAAAATGTTAGGCCAGTGGTTTACTGAAAATTTGAACAATAAGCAGTTGGTCTGAGAGTAAAACTAAGTTTATAAATTTTGTGGATTAGACCACTCTAATTCCAGTTGTCCAAATGTCATCGTATCTTACCATGATTACATAAAAAATGATTTTTCTGCAATCATATGTGAAGTTGAACTACACACATCAAAATCAAAACGCGAAGTTTGATCTTTGGCCTCGACAAAAAAAGCATAGTCTCCCATCAAAAAACTGTCGTTTCGTACATTCAATATAAAAATAAATATTTTGAATCTATAGTGTATGTTTTTTTTGTATAGCATTTAAAATTGGCTGGGCTCTTAGTTTTATGTAAATCATCCTGTATAATTCTACAAAGTTTAGCAAGATTATGTGGTGCTTTTCATCGAACAGCATTAGATTTAATTTCTTAGTAGAGATTAAAAAAATTAAACATTTTCAAAGTTTTACATTTTAAGTAGGGTGCGATAGTAACTAGATGATTAAAAGTCACGCTGACTTTTAATCCGAGTTATTAATTATTTCTTATCAGATTATTTTTTTATTTATTGAACACACAGATTGTGTGTTCTTTCTCAATTTTAATTTTTTTGCCTTTCAAAGATATAAAAAAAATGTATGCGCAACCTCACATTTTTCCGGGTTAAAAGCTGATAAGATGTACGACTCAGATATATTTATAATTTGAAAAAAAATACAATTTGAATTTTTAACGCCTCTGATGACTAAAATAAATCTTAAATACCAGCAAAATAAAAAATACAAAAATCAGAATAATTTAACTGGAAATATATTTATTATACAAGACGATAAAATAATTGTTTATCTACGAGTGAAAAGGTTAAGTTTACCAGTGACGAAGTCACGAGTGGACTTCTTTCACGAGTAGATAAACAATCTTTATTCTTCGACACTGTCAAAATTTACGGTTTTTCTCCCGTGTAAGGAAGTTTTGAAAACTGTTTGGCATTTCTCAATACAAAACGTCAAATTATTTTTAACAGATTGAAAGCAAGTTTAAGCCTTGTTGACTCTAAATCGAAGAATAAAATGTTGTATTCCACTCGTTTGAGTGTTAATCGGACGCTTTATTCCACCTCGTAGATGGTAAACCACTCGTTACACTCGTAGTTTAAAAATCCACTCGGTCAAATAAAAAGTCCGATTTACACTCAAACTCGTCGAATAAATAACTATTATTGTCGTTTATAATATTTTGTACTGACCTACCTACCAGAATTTCTTCAATATAAACAGAGTAGATAAAAATTACCGTAAAATGGGGTTACTTTGATATCCGGGGTTACTTTGAAACGTTATGGGGCTACTAATTTTGTTTCATTGTCAGTATAGGGACATGCCTATAGGTACCTACCGAAATTATGTTTATTTTATTTTTATACCATATAAAAGCCACAATATACCCAAAAAATGAATTATTTAATTTTCTTAAAAATACAAATAAATATATTATTTATGTTTTGTGTTTAATGAGTTTAATAATAGTTATTTATTATACAAGCGGATAAAGTGGCCGTTTAATGAGCTGTTCGCTTAATTACAGCGAATTAAACGGACACTTTATTCTGCGAGTGTAATACAACATTTTATTCATATTATTATCCTGATTCCTATGGGGCGACCATGACAACGACTTGTTTTTATAAACAAAGTTGGAAAAAAATTTGTGTTGTGAGTATTAAGTCGTTTTTTGTGGAAAAAATTAATAAATAATTTGTGCGAAGAAGTGTATTATAATGTTCATTCTGATGTGGAACATTCGTCGGATGATAGTGATGCCATACTAATGGATAAACTGCTTTTTCGAAATCATCTGTTGCACCTTGTCCAAGTCCTGCGCTAAACACACAGTTATGGAAGCGTGAATTTCGAATGTGCAACAATTCAAAATCGCAACTTTTGTATTGTTGCTCAAATACCGATTGAGGAACTTCAGAATCTGATGCGATAATCATTTTTATTATAATTTTAACTAAAAATATTGTATGTTTAAAACAGCGGATTAAAATTTTTAATGCGCCGATTATTGACGTTTTAATGCGCTGCTTAAATAAACAAAATAAACAAAATAAACAGTTTGATTTGACATAAATAAACGTCATTTTATAAGGCAAAATCGAATAAAGCTCATTTACATCATAAAATATATTTCATTGAAATTGGCATAATAGGTGGCTATGGAATTTCGTATTTAAGTTTGTAGCCCTGTGCATGTCCCTGATATAACAACTGATGGGGTTTTTGTTTTTCTTTGATCACTTACCTACATGGTTTATTTAACTGACATGACTGACATTTGTATTCGTTTTTTCACTGTTTTCGTTGGTTGTTCGTTATTCCTACTATTTTTTCAAATTATAATTAAAAGTAGTTCCCTTCAGAACCCCAGATTTAAAGTACACGCTAAGGTATGTTTGAAAACATAATCAATTTCTTTTTGTTCCTGTTTTAGGCATTTTAAGTTAATGGAATCAAATATACCAATTTGAATTAAGCCAAAYTATTTTATCCACGGCAAAACACGATTTTTCAGGCTTCAGTACGCGAAGCTTCATTTCGTACAGATTTCCTTTTTCCACTCCGATCGCAACAACTTTACCATTGTTTAAAAATTAACAATTTTGTCCTAMATTTTTAATGACAAAATCCAAACCCCTTTTGGCTGCAACTTTCACGGAAAATAAATTGTCTTTCATCTCCGGTGTGTATGTTTTTGGTGTCAAAACTACACCTACAAAGGGATGAAACTTTTTATGGAGAAAAACTCTCTCTGAAAACCTTTGAAAGAGGGTTCTTGAAAAATAAAATTTTAACTATCTTAACCTCACTTTTTTAGTGACAAATTTAGTTCCTTAATATGTAAAGCCTTTTTCACATTTAAAGCGCAGTTTACACAATCATGGCCTACTGTTATGCCAATTTAAATGAAATGGATTATAGATTACATATTTTTAGTTTTAAGGTGTCAAAGTACCCCCCAGGCTAGCATAACTTTGATTTTCAACGTAATTAAAAGGACTGTCAAAATAGCCCCGAAATCGGGGTTTCTTTAACAGCAAATTTTCAATTTTTTTTTTAAACTATGACCTTGAAGCAAAATTTTAAGTTTGTTTGTTAAAACAGAAGGATCAATTGTTCTGATGCTAATTTTTTCAAGAAAATATTGCAACAACTAAAAAAATTACATCAACAAAACCTCTCAAACTATGTCAAAGTAACCCCGTTTTACGGTACCTACTTTATTTCACTAGACGATAAAAGACTACTTTATCTACTGAAATTATTTGATAAAAGCACTCTTTAATATTGAGTACAAAATAAATTCATTTTATTAAAAAAACAAAAACTAAGTATTGAACATTTTATTATTTCCGTGGTTGGAGAAATTATTTCTCTCTCCACGATTATTTCTCATAAAACTGAAAATATTAAAAAGCAGATATTGTAACGTCAACTTGAACAATGTTTAAAAAACTGATTACAACCGTTGTAAAGCTAAAACTAATCTGAATCTGTTTTTATTTCTCTTTCCTATTAGTTAGTTTCTTATTAGTTAGTTTATTTTTTGGGAAAACTCTAAGTAGTATTAGAGATAGTTGTAAATAATCTCCACATTGTTCAGAAATAAAGAGTTTATGACATCAAAATTTATATTTTAACAAGTTTTAGCTTCAAGTGTGATACACTTAAAGTTTTTATTCTTATTTTTGATTGGCGATAATAAAGTCAGATTATTTTTGTGTAGCTTTTTCTCTCCTCTAAAGTAGCATTACGACCGGAATAAATCCCTTGTTTTCCAAAACTCACCTGTGGAATACAGAATGCAAGACTAGCCACCCATGCCAAATACACCATAACTTTCGACCTCCTGGAAGTCCACGAGCAGTAGGTCAAAGGGTAACAAATGGCCTGATGGCGATCAATGGCTGTCGCCATCAACACGTACGAGCTCAAATATGGACCTAGAGTCTGTCCATATTTAACGATCTTACACAGAAGGAAACCTCCATAGAATCTGTAAGTTATATCCCAAGCCAACTGCGGCAGCACGCTAAGAAAAGCCGTAATCAAGTCGGCAATGCTCAAATGCAAGATGAAGAAGTACATTCGAGAGAGTTTCTTGCGACCGGCGTATCTGAAAATAAATTATGATTGTTTTACGATGACTTTTAATTGGAAAGATAGGTTTTAGTACCTTCGACGGGTCCATAAAGCGAGTAATACTGTGGTGTTGCCGATGACGGTAAGAAGGAAAATTATGGCGAGGGTTGCAACTTCCACGCGGGCGAGGTTCTCATCTCGGTCTGTGGTATTTCTGTCTATGTGTTTATCGAACAGGTGAGTAGAATTTTCAGAAGAAAAGTTCATTTGGGAGAGTTTCAGGTCGTACATGAGATTATTTTGAAATTATTTTAGTCTGAAAGAAAATAAGAAACATATAGACTAACACATACTTCCATAATAAAAAAAAATTTGTAATTGATTTTATTTATGTTATACGAGAATTTAAAACTATTTAATTAGTTAGTTAGTTAGTTGAATATTTATTCAAAATATTTCTTTATAAAAATCTATTGGACCCTCTACTTTGCAATTAACTGCTTTCATCGGCATTTCCGCTCTGCGAACATCAATTACTAATGTGTCAATTGCTATGCAACAAACATTTTTGCGCGATTAGACTCTATTCAATTATTTACTACGTATGTTTCCAAGACAGTAACTTGTATTTACTCGTTGCTATCCCAAACTCGTCGGTAAGTATTTTGTTTATTGTTGCTAAGTCGGTAAGCATTCAAAAACGTCGCCAAATATTTTGGCGTGTTAGAACATTTGTTAGATATTTTATTTAAAAAAACACTATCAAAAATCAATCGCGCAAAAAATGTCATAAGCATCACGAACGTCAAGGACTTACCGATCTCAGACAATAAACAATTGTCTTCGATCGGTAAAATTAATGTCCTTACCGTTCTTGATGCTTAATTTACTATTTCTTACTTGCTAAATACAACTGTATAAAAATTTAGAAAACCTCCAACTTCTTTTGTTACTTTTTGTTAAAGATTTACAAAAAACCGGAAAAGCATAATTAAGTTTATATCTAAAATATTTATCTCATTGTTTACTACTTGTCTCCTTTGATTTTGATCATCTCGAATGAGAATAATTAACTGAGTGAAAACGAAGGAAAGACATTAAGAAATAATTTAAAGTTCGGGAAGTTTAAAAACGCATTTACAGAAAATAAAAAGCGGTTTCTTCCTTATTCAACTTCGGTTGGTCATTAAAGATGATGACTCTTTGGAGACTTGTTAACTAACTTATGGAAAATTTATTAAAACTTTTGGGATTTATACATTATGTAGATGCAATAAGTCGACAAGAACTGAAAGCAAAGGATTAGGAATAAGGTTGAATTGCAATCTACTTGTTAGTTTAAAACAAAATTGTAAAATATGCCAGCCTTATATTACTCATATGTTTGCTAAAAACAGCGAAGTTTTACTCAATTTCAAGAGAGTAAGATTTTATGTAAGGACATGTAAATATTTCCGAGATATTATTCTAAAATTGTATACTAAAGACTATATGGATTAATATGGAATGATGAGGATGATTTAGAACGATTTAATTATGATTGTACAATAGAAAAAAAAATATGTGGGTTTCAAAGAGACGATCTAAGAAAACGGCGTTGGGTAAAATAGGAAACATTTCACGTAGTAGTTAGTTGGAGAACGAATACAAAAAATCATTCTTGTATTTTTCATGTTTCCTGAATTACGAAATTTCAGGATTTATGCCAGTTTGAGATTTCGACTGACTATTATTATTGTCTCGAGTGTTTTTATTTTTTATAAATGTACACTTCGCCGTAAATTTAGTTGTCACTTGACGTTGGGGTAGATGGTCGGAAGGGTATATTTAGAAATTAAATCGAGAAAAGTTAATAAATGCTTAAGACTAGGAAGGATCTGAATCTAACCGGGTTTTTAGAGTCAATGAAATTTTGTTTTTTAGTTAAAAATTGGAAGAAAAATTTACAATTGTAAATTGTTTGTTTACAGTTGTTAACAAAGTAAATAATTGGAGGAAATACTGTCATGTGTTCTTTAATACAAAATTGCCCTAATCTCTGAGAAAATCTTCGTCTCATGTTGAAAACATTTAAATTTATAGAGGCACGAAAGCTGGAAAATCCTAGACATAAACTACTGTTCTAACAACTGTAATTACGCCTAAACATGTAATAAAAGATAAAATGCAAGATTTTATTTTCCTAAACACGGTTACATTTTTTTGTGTTACTTACAACTTTTTTTTAGAAAAATCCCAACTAATAATTCCTCTTTCCTTGCTTTTGCTAACATTTTAATTTCCTTGCTACTGCATTATTACGTGACTAGTTTGATTTATTTTCACTTGCAAAGTTTCGTCCTAATCCCTGTAGAAAGTTTAAAAAAACTTGTGACAATATAAAAATATGAGATTGGATATTATAGCCGCCTCATTTCTATTATATGGAAGAAGATGTTAGGAAAGATAATAGCGGAAAAGACTGCTGGAATTGTGAAACCATATCTTGATTTTGTATTTCCTGGATTAAAACACACAATTCGATTTAGTCGAGTGAGAAAAAATAGCACTATTTGGAAGCGATAAAAATTAATTAAATTTGCTTGGATTTTAATCGATTTGTTTTATGTCCTTAGAAAATAACTTGAAATTATACTGCAATGAGTTTTAGGATTGTGTTATTATTTTTAAAGCTTGGATTCAATTTCGAGACACAACGTTGCGGCTTTGAGATTCTATCGTAACAAATTCTATTTAGCCGTGAATACAAAAAGCTTTGTTTCTAGAATATGAACCAAGTATAAAATCCATATTTCAGATAAGTTGTCGAATAATTCAGCGACAATAGCGTGAATCTATCTATCTCTCGGTACATCTGAAAAATTGATGAAAAGTGATTTATTCACAAAAGAACCGATTCTGTTTTATATTTTATGTTTGTTGATTGCCAGACAAAAAAGTGCAAGAACGTTTATCGTAACTTTATTCCAAAAATCAAAATTTTTTCTTTAAACAAATTTGCTCCAAACTATGTGCAAAACTTAATTCAAATAGTTTCAATTTTGATAGAAAAGAGTCTAGGATATTTTAGACGTTAGTTTGTCGAAATTCTTAAAGATTTCATAAAATAAAAAGTTATTAAAATTGTTCATAAATTTTTACAATTCCAAGAGAACTCGATTTATGACGATAAAACCACTATAAAATATCAAATCAAAAAGACAGGTCTGCAATTGTTTTGAGAATATTGATCCGTTAGTGTGATATATGCCTACCAGCATTCATAAACGTGCATGGAGTAGGTAGGAAAGGCATTCAGGATATAGAGCGAGGATGAGCTTGGCTTAATTGGTTCAGGTGCATAAGTGGTAGGTATGTTGTTTTTTTTTCGAAAAATTTTGATAGACGTGGGTGTACTTGAGTAATTTTTTTCGATGAGAACCTGATTTCTCATTTTAATAATCTTGCTTTTTAATTTCAATTAAGGTCAGCTTAGGGACACTATTTTTTCTTAGTCCAACACATGATTAATTGTTTGATAAACATTGTTGTTATTTTTGGCAAAAGTCACGAAAGTTACCAAAACTGTCAATATTTACATTTTTACTAGTCTTTAACTTCAAATTAAAATCTCTGCATGGAATGTTAAACTTCTCAATAATTGCTTGTTTTAGATAACAAAACATCCAATCGATAAAATTTGATACAAGTAACTACTAACTAATAAATAAAAAATAAACTTTTAACGGAGTTTCCTCAAGAGGATTATATGGGAGAAAAAAACAATAAAACGAGTTGATCATAAATAAAATACTACGCACACAGTTGATTTAACTTATTTGCAAACAAAAACAATAATTCTTTTTATGGGCATTAGTAGGTAACCCTTTTGTTAACATTATTTACGCATTATGTATGTTTCACGCAGGTTAAAAATAAGCATTTTTCACTGATTAAACTTGCTTACATTGTGGGTGAAATGATCTATGTAGTTTAGAAGCTCTTTTTAAATATTTATCGCAGTTTACTCCGGTTGAGGGATTCAAACGAGTAATGTTACGTGAAATATGTATTATTTAATATTTAAAGGAGGCACGGAATTCTTCCGCAATAAATCACGATGTTAAATAATAATAAATCGATCCAGAAGATTAAATAAAAGTTTAATATAACCTCAACCATTCTGCATTCGTTCTGGCAAAAATTGAAATATTTTTTTTACAACTCTTATTATTATTCCTGTAAAGCGCTCACTGTTTACAGTGGTAAAAATCTGTAAATTAATATTCTGTGCACGAAACGAAGTAAATCAGTCATAAATTTAGGGTAATGATTTTGAACTGTAAACAATAATTTTGTACTACTTATTAGTGGAGATGACACCACTATGTTCTAATAGTTATCAAAAAAATTATCCCACTGGAACTGATTATGAAAAACTTTGTATTAGGACAATAAAATCAATAAAAGCTGGATAATAGTAAATAAAATTGGTAAGCATATGTTTTCTTCTGTCTGTCATAAAAGATTACGTAAAAAACATACTAATTTATTAAAAATAGAAAATATTTTTTATGTCAGAATCAAGTTATTATACTGGCAGCTTTAAAAAGTATTAAAAATAATGAGTGTACACATGGGTTGATACCTCTGACCTTTTTGGTTATTTTTGAATGTCGTCTAATCCTCAAAACTAAAACACGTGGAGGTTTCCAGGTTTTCAGGTTTCCAGGTTACTCGACAAATTCGGAATAAATGCGGAGGACATATTTCATTTGATTGTAATTGGGTAAATTCAGAATCAAAGGTAATGAAAGGATTTCATCTCAAAATAATGATGAAAGGTCGGCATTTATTCACTCCAACATATGTTTATATCTAGCGGCCTCCACATACTTACAAGAAAATGTTCGCTGAAAATTCTGTGGTTTCGTGGCACTGCTAATTAACAGATTAAAGGAATATTGATTTCGTAAGTTTTCACCATTCAAGAGTTTTTTTGCAAAGTCGATGATGGAAATTTGTTGAAAGCTTTAAGTAAGTGAGTAAAAAAAGTTTTGCTGATTTTAAATTAAAAAGTAAATTTTCGTAATTGGATTTAACCTTTGTAGAAGTTACAATATTTGTTAAAACAAGCAAATCGAATCAAGAAGATCTCATGTAACATTAACAAGGAGTGATGTTTCCTTTGAAACAAACCAACATATAAGCATTTCCGTCACTCCATTATTCACTTTTTTTTCCTTTTATTTTAACCGTAAATCACTTTTTTTCAAGTATAATACATTCATTTTGTTTTAGACCAGGCTAGGCAATTTTATTGTCATTTAGCCACAG